ATAATAATTTTAGATATTTTTTAACTATTATCATATTAAAAAGATATAATATCAAAACAGTACTATTTAATAAAATTTATGTGATTTTTAGTCATTTTATAACTAAACTTACTTTTTTATTAATCATTCAAATAAGCTTCAACCTTTTAAATTGAGTTTTTATAAACACTAATCCAAATATAAATCACATTACACTGACTGATTTTTACTTTAACTCACATTTATAAAAGTTAGATGGAATAAAAATTAGTTTTGAGACCTGTAATCCAAACGTACCCAACGAGCGTGAAGAAGATGGGCATGTGAAAATTTTTAATGCTGGATGTGACACTAACGTGGAGAAAAATGACAAAAAATAGCATTGGCTTTATCGTGCAATGGGAGAGATGAGCTCTGCTGACCCAAACACGTAGAGCCGGGAAAACGGGCCGAGCCCATCGGGCCGGCCCGTTTAGGCCCTGAAATTACGAGGGCCGGGCTTGATATTTTTCTCTTAAAATGAGAAACAAGCCCTGGAGGGCTGGCCCTGGAGGGCCGAGGGCTTAAAAGGGCTGGCCCTGAAGGGCCGCGGGCCGGCCCTTTTAAGCCCTTTTATAATTTTTTTATTTTTTAGATTTTTTTATATAATATTAATGTTATTAATTTTTTACATTGTTAATAATATTTCAAATATTTAGTTATTATTATCATTTTAAAATTAAATTTAGTTTTAGACAATAATTTATCCAATTAAATTTTTAAAAAATCGGTTAATTTAAACTTTAATAATGATTTGATTTATATTATATGCGTTGATATTTTTAAACTATATATATATTTGATAATAGAATATTTTTATACTTATATAACTTGTGATTCTATAATTTGAATTAGAAATTCATGAGTTTCAACAACAATGTTTCTCACATTAAAGTAAAATAATAGTTAGATTGCAAATTCAAAAATAAAATTCTTATAAAGAAGAAAAACTTGATATTTTTGTTACGAAAGAAAAGCATACTTATGAAGAAAAGTAATTAATTATAGTGATGATGAAGTTTCAAAAGATTAATGATAGTGTTTATTTATTGCACAATTGCATTATAGATAAAACTTTTAGATATTGTTATCTTGTTAATGAATGTTTTAGATGTTCTTAGATGTTGATGAATATTTATATATGATGATATTTTATATTTGTGACTTAATTTTATTCATATTTATGTCTTTTATTAATAATTTCATTGGTTTATTTTTATATTTTTATAAAAAAATTTGATAAATATAAAAAAATAGTATTTTTTCTTAAACGGGCCAAAAGCCCGCGGGCCGACCCTGACCCTGTAGCTTAAGGGCCGGGCTTAGCAAATTGGGGTATTTTTAAAATTTCAGCCCTAGAGGGCCGGCCCTTTTAAGCCCGCCAGCCCTAAAGGGCCGGCCCTGATTCCCGGTTCTACAAACACGCAAAAAATCACAAATGAGCTCCACCCTCCATTTCACAAGTTTTTGTGTTTTTCATTTTCAAACTTAATTAATTTCTAAATGATTCTGATGTCCCCGAAGCGCTCTTTCCAATCCCTCCACCCGCACAATCTTTTCAAGGTTACAAAGCGCCATATAAAGATGGGCCAAATTTCAATTATTTTCTTCACCATACCAAAATTTTGAGTAATCTAATTAAGACAATTTAACTTTTTGACAATAGGGTACTAATGTATTAGTGTTCTGTTTTGCTTAAAAAATTAAGGAAGAATTACAAGAAAAAAAAAGTCCCTACTATAAATTTTATTAGTGAGAATGACCTAAATTAGAATACTGACCAGATAGTAGCACTCCATGGGCATAAAATTTGCAGCCGACAATACTTCCTATGTATAAAAATTTATTAGGTTATCCTTGCTGATAGAATTTTTAATGAGGGTCTTTTCTTTAATTTTTCCAAAAATTAATCTGATGATAAATGTATTTTAAAAAATAAATTTTGTTAACTAATTATGTATATAATGTTTTAATTTTAAAAGAAATATTAAAATTAAAATTATAAAAATAGTTAATATATTATTGAGAAAATTTGAAATATGAAATATAAGATTTTAATTTATTTTGTCTCTAATATTTGTCTATTTTGCTCCTAGATAATTCCTATAGTGATTATATATATTAAGAAATTTTCATTAATATGTAGTTTTAATGCACATGATTAACAAAAATATTTTAAACAAGACATTTAACTTAATTAATTTTATTAAAATTCTTAAATTAGTTATCTAACCCTTATACTAAGAATATCTGACATCAAATTATTGTGTTTGTTAAAAATAATTTTATTTTTTTCTATTACCATCTTTTCTCTTTCCCCGTTTGTGACAATAAGAGCTCAAAAAAAATTAGTTTCAACCTTATGCTATCTTTTTACCTAAAAGCTCAGTTGCAAAAATTTACCCAAACATTTGATTGAACATTCATCTGCCAGCAACGTGGGTTTGTGTCATTTCAATGCACGTTTTTTGTTAAAAACGTCGATCGCTAAATGATTTTGCCGTCCCCGAAACGTTCTTCCTTCTACCCGCACAATCCTTTTCAAGATTGCAAAGCGTCATATAAAGATGGGCCAAATCTCAATTATTTTCTTCACCATACCAAAATTTTGAGTAATATAATTAAGACAATTTAATTTTTTTCTACAAGAGGGTACTATAATGTATTAATGTTCTGTTTTGCTTAAAAAATTAAGGGAGAATTAGAAAAAAAAAAATCTCCACTATAAATTTTATTGATGAGAATGATCTAAATGAGAATACTGATCAAGTAGTTGTATCCGAGTGTACAAAATTTGCAGCCAATAATACTTTCTATGTATAAGAATTTATTAGGTTATCCTTGCCAATAGAATTTTTAATGAGGGACTCATCAAAAAAAAAGAATTTTTAATGAGGGTCTTTTCTTTAATTTTCTCCAAAAATTAATCTGATGATAAATGTACTTTAAAAAAAAATAAAAATTACACTTTTGTCACGATGTCCTTGGCTCCTTGTACACAGACAGAATTGGTCTTTGGGTTTGGTACATTGTTTTAGCCTTCTGTCTTGTAAAAGAAGTTGATGGAGTTATTAATAGAATAAAAAAAGCTTTTGATATGGAACAGTCAAAAAAGGGTTTTAATATAGATTTCAATATTTGTCCATATATATATATATTTCAATATTGACCATTCACATGATCTTTATCTCAAATTGGAGGGAATCCTATAAAGTCAAAGATTGGTTATGTTAGTTAAATAGAATTACAAAATAAAAAAATAAAAAATAAATCTTTCTCTCACACGCACGACTATAAAATATTCTAATCTTGGTGGATGAAACCAAACTTGCACCTTTTCCTTATTACTGCTCAGAATGGATTCAACAGAAGATGTTAACTTTTCTTTGACAATTTTCTCGACAGGAAAAGTAATCAAACCCAGCAAACGGGATTTATTTGTTAGGGTTTCTATCCCCATCTTATTTTTTATCATTTATTTTCATGATTTAATTTGTTTGGCATGCAGTGTACATAACTGTAATTTTCTGTTTATCGAATTTAAAAAAAAATCTTAAATTCAATATGACTTTCTGTATCATCAATGTATGTAAAATTTTACAACAAATAACATTGTCAATAAATTATAAATATTATACTTTCATTTTTTTTAAATTCTATATAATTTGTAATTTTTTTTATATATCGAGCTTTTTTTTAAAGCCTTAGTTTTGAACCTTTAACCTTTGAAGTTATTGAACAAAAAAAAACCCTTTGGAGGTTAAAGAGAAGTGAAAACCTCCAACCTCTACTTTCTCATGGGATGGATCTAGCTTTCTGATTTCTGCAAACATCTCTTTTTCGTTAACAAGGAAAAAAGAGACGGGAAAATGTGTCCAGCAGAGTAATAATAATGTCAAAACTTTTTAAGCGTGAGATTATATGTTCAAAACTTTAATAAAAGATATAATGAATGTGCTAATTATGAAAAAAAAAAATAATACTCCTCCAGTCCTTAATATAAAACCTATTTAACTAATTTGACTAGATTAAAAAAGTTAGATAAGTTAGTTAATTATAAGAAATGTGACATGTTTTTCCTAAAATACTATAGTCATCTTTCTTAATACCCCTTCTTCCTCTTCTACTTGATTATGGTTAAGGAGTATCTATATGGGTAATTTAGAGAAAATTGATAAATATGAAAAATGGATCTTATATTTAGGACCAAAACCAACTCAATAATTGAGTTCTATATTAAGAACCGGAGGAGTAATAGGGAAATACATCAGAAAAAAATGCACCAAATGCATTGACAAACTACTCTTTTTCATCCCACTTGTAACTTGTATTAAACTGCTTTGTAGTTCAAGATTTTTGTTCAAAGAAAAAAAAAACTTAGGCTAAATTCTTTACATCTATTATATCAAATTTTTCAATCATATATAGTAATATTTTTTTTATTTAAATTTATAATTAAATATTATAAGATGTTAATATTTTAAAAATAAAACGCATGATTATTTATGATTAAAAAACTTTAAATAATAAATATAAAAAATTTGATGTAATTGGTGTGGATTCTCAAATCTCAAAAGATCTCATGTTGACAATTAATCAACCGAGTAACATGATGATACATAATTGCATGGATATTTGAAATTTCTATTCAAAGGCGACCGTTAAATGCTTTGCCCGCCTGGAGCCATGAAGTGTCTCTTTTATGACTTGAAAGGCTAAATCCCATCAATCAACAAATATTAGTAGTATTTTCCATATAATCTTGCATTTCTGTTTCCTTATCCTCATTTTTGTTACAAGAAAAAAAAATCTCATCAGAACTTTGCAAAAAGTTATTACAGTTCCGTGGCTCCCACGTTGAAGGAGGCTAGCGGGTGGTTTCATCATGGCGCGTGGTGGCCAAAACCGTCTTTCTCATGGCCTCCAAAAGTCCACCGAAAGCGACTGTGTCAAATCACGACGCCACAATACCACTGCGCTTCTCTGTTTCCTGTTTCCTCTCTCTGTTAGCCGTTGAGTTTCAGTCCTCCCTCGCTCCCTCTCCTGCTTCTTAATCTCTCTCAATTCTATTATTCTTTTTTGGATTAGTCAAAAACCCTAAAATCACCATCCATTGACCTTTCTGTTCTCAGTTTCTCACAGCCTTTCCACTTGGTGCTCAAGCTTTCCTCTGTGGTAATATCTCCATTATGACCTCTTTTATATTGTTGATCCCTGCAATGTTCCTCCATCGCTCTCAATGACGGACTCTTCTCTATCACCCGCCTCCTCCGATTACGGCTCCGTCAACACCGCCGATCAGGTACCGCAATAACTCTCCGATGTCAAGCATTTTCTCTTTTTTCCCTCACGTGAGATTTAGTTCTCAAAATGCAAAATTTCACTGATTTTGTTTCGGCTATTCCCATTGGCATCTAATAGTTGAATTCCTGCGCCCCCCCCCCCAAAACAATGATTCGTTAATCTGCGCATCCCAGATTTCCCCTGTCTCCATCATTTTTGTTCTGTATCAATCGGGACATTTCCAACATAGTTGTTTAATCACTTTTTTTGTTTTGGATAGAATGCGGGGCGGAGTCGGAGAAGTGGGGGCGTTAGTGAAGTCGTGATCGTGCAGCAAACGCGTCGGTGGCATGACGTTTTCTGGTTAGGAATATTTTTGATTCATTTGATTGGCCTGGGGTTCCTTCTGGGGCTTCTCGGCCTCAATAGGTTTAAGAAGGAGAATAGACTTAATATTGATAGGTATACTGCCCCGTTTTCGGAGAATAAAAACGGCTTGACCGAGGATTTCTGGCCTCTCTATGCTGTTGCTGGTGGAGTTGGGACTGTTCTGGGATGGAGTTGGTTGTTGTTGTTGGGTTCTCGTGGCAGTCAAATGATGAAGGTCTCGGTCCACATCCTCACCACTTATCTTGCAGTGATCAGTGTTTTGTGTTTCTGGGCTGAACAGTTTCTCTGGGGGGTCTTTTTCGCAATTGGGGCTGCGTTGCAGTTCTTGTACATCATATCGGTCATAGACAGGTATCGTCAAGAAAAACCTGTAGGCTCTTTTTTGTTGGATAATTTTTTTTTTTTATTGATTTGCTGCTTAGGTTTACTGGTGCATAATTTCGTACCTTTGAAGCTAAGATTTTGCCCAAATTTATTGTCTAAAGGCGTGGCAAATTTAAGAACAATCTATTGCAACTACTCTTGCAAGTCTTTTGCATCTGATAATTGGTATGCAAATCCTGAAGTTTTGACAGGAAATGAAACATGGTAAATAAGTTTGCCGTCAAACTCTAGATACGAAACAGTTTAGTGCATGTTGTTTCATCGAAGCCAACGCATGTAATAATGTTATAATGCTTAGTGTAAAATTTAGACAGACAAAAGTACATTGACTACATTCTCATGCCAACAAGCCCCTTCCGCCATATCTGCATCAATTGGAGCTCAAGTGAATATTTGTCTTTTTTAGTGGTTACCCGTAAATACTGGGACAAAATTTTCAGCATTATTTTTTTCACGACTGAAACTTGTTCGTTTTCGGATGCGGTTGACTTGAATTGTGAAAATTTGGGTATTTGAATGTGGTCTGAAATATATAATTTTGATTGAATCCTGAGGCTCTATAAAGATTATTTTTTAAAATAAATATCCGTAACAAAAGCTTTACCTTATTTTTCCTCTGATGATATCTGAATTATGAGAGATGCAGTGAGTAGGTGCAGAATTTGGTCATTCTTGGGTGAAACCTTAGTTTGTTATTGCATAGGTCCATATTCAATATCTCTAGTTTTAAGCAGTAAAATTTGACATGGGTAGGATGGCCTTGCTTGACATTTTAATCTGGAAATTTCTTACTGAAGTGACTAGGTTTCTAATGCATCATGGGTGCTTTCATGTATTTACGGATCTGTGTGAGAAATTACCAAATTTAGTAGCTGGTTGGTATGATCAATTCTTTTTAAAGTCTAAGTATATTCTTTGTTAATTTCTCTTGCCTCATCCCTGTTTTATAATTTTTCCCCTTTTGTGATGAATCTAAATAAATAATTCAACTTGGAAAATAATTTCTGGTGGAAATATTTGCTTCTGTAGACTCCCATTTACGATGTTGGTTCTACAGAAGGCTGTGAAGATGGTGTGGAGTCTTCCTGAAGTTATGAGATTGGCATATGCATTTATGCTTGTTGTGCTTTTATGGATGGCCTTATGGTCCTTTGGAGCAGCTGGTGTTGTGGCTTCGAGCATGGGTGATGGTGGACGCTGGTGGCTTCTTGTGGTGAGCTGGCAAGTTTTGCCTTTCATTCTATCTATATTTGTTGGGAGTAATTGAGAAAGCAGATTATGCTGGTGGCAAGTTTTGCTTTTTCTTTTATCTACATTGATATGGTTATTTGTGGATTCAGGTTTTCTCTGTAAGCTTATTCTGGACTGGTGCCGTACTTTGTAATACTGTACATGTTATTGTGTCCGGGATGGTGTTTCTTGTTCTTATTCATGGTGGCAGAGAGGCAGCATCAATGCCAGCTAATCCTGTATTGAAATCTCTTAAGTATGCTTTAACTACATCTTTTGGCAGCATATGTTATGGCTCATTATTTACAGCTGCTATCAGGACACTTCGTTGGAAGGTATCTACTACTGTCTACTATTGGAACTAATTGCAAATCTTGATTTTTATGTTCAGAAGCTTCTCTTTTGTCATCTTGTATTAACGTTATCTCAAGTCTTTCAGATAAGGGGCTTTAGGTCAAAGATTGGAAAGAACGAGTGTTTGCTTTGCTGTGTTGATTTCCTTTTTCATCTTGTGGAGACTCTTGTCCGTTTCTTCAACAAGTATGCCTATGTTCTGGTATATTTCTACTTCTATGTCATTAATGCCTTTCACATATGATAATTTTAGATGACAATCAGATGTGATATATTGCTTGCTTTCTTTAATTTGAGATTGTCCCTCACGGAAAAGAGGAAGAATGTTGAATTTTTATGGGCAGCTTCTACCCATGGGCTTATTTTGTTTTAACTATTTATTATGAATGAGGCTGACTATGCATCACAAAGCGATGAAGAAGAACTAATGTTTTATACATTTAAGTCTGAAGTTGTTGAGGCTGTATGTGAAATAGTGATGATTGAACTTTTTCAACGATTAATTCCTGAAAAGTTCAACATAAAATAGGGATTAAATCTTGTTAAGAATTTCGAAAGAGAAAATTTTGTATATAGAAGAACATTCGAATGGGCGCCCAATGCTCCAAAAGCTAACATCTTGTAATTACTGACCACCAACTTTTATACCAATTGATGAGTACCTAAATGGAATAGGGAGTCTTACCTCAAAAGTTAGCCATTAAAGTGGGATAACTAATGTACTTAATACTTAAATATCCCATTAAGCATCTCATACTATTCATTGTGGGACTCAAGCATAACATATCACCTAAGTCTCCATCACTGCCTAATCTATGCCTCTCAGCTTTGCACCTAAAGACATCGGTGCTTAATGGCGGAAAGTAACAAGATTTGGATAGGTTGGACTTTAAAATAGTGCAAATTGGTGTGTTTGAAATGCCTTTTCTGATAATTAAAAAGAAACAAGTGCCCTTTTTTGGTGGTGGTGGTTTTTTTTTTTTTTTTTTTTGAGGGGGGGGGGTTTTGAAATCTAATCCGTGGACTTGTGTTACCAGTTTGTTGAAAGTAGTTCATAAGTTCTTGGAAAACTAACTGTTGCACGGTTGATTCTCATGGTCCTTGCAGATTGCTGTTAATGGTAAAAATTTTAACCATTCGGCTAGAGATGCATGGGAGTTATTCCAGTCAACTGGAGTTGAAGCACTCGTAGCCTATGATTGCTCTGGAGCTGTTCTGCTAATGGGTACCATTTTTGGCGGGCTGATTACAGGAACTTGCTCTGGTGTTTGGGCATGGCTCAAATGGAGTGACAGAGTACTTATGATTGGGTCCACGTCTATGTTGATGGGAATGGTCTTGGTAAGTTTACAGTCTTCGAAGGAAGTCCACCCAGTCTTGAGGTTCTTTCCATGCATCACAAAACTCACCGGTGGTACTCCTTGCTGTTCAATTTCTTGTCTTATTATATTCGGTGTCGTTGCAGTGGCAGTGACTGACATGCTGACACATGAAAGTAGATGCATTTGTGCTTTATATCTGCCTCTATCAAATTTTTTTGCTGTTTGTTGCCTAATATTGTAGTTCATTACTGCACATCGTTTAAGTTCATATTGTAATAAAAGTCGGCATCTTGGTAGAGAAGGTTTGCATTATGTGTGTAGAGTTTGGTTGAGAGGAGAGAATAAAAGTGGGAACTTAATGACCAAGAACTGGAATTTGACACGACAAGGAAGTAATAGAATATCTCAGTAGATTTATTTTTACAAATGGTTCATTAAATTAATTTCATAATTTCAAAACAAATACGGTTTCTTGGTCAGGCCAATAAATGGTGATGTACAGTGAAGGCCGCTAATAGCAAATCCTAATATGACACGAAGCATGTATTGTTTCAGGTAGGAGTGGCAATGGTAGTGGTGGAAAGTGCTGTTACATCCATTTATATCTGCTATGCAGAAGACCCCTTGTTGATTCGTAGATGGGACACTCAATTTTTCAACCAGATGTCTGAGACACTACATCAGCGATTACAACATCGGAGTTCCCGGGCTAGTGAGGTTAGAATGTTATATCGGCTCGATGGGCTGGTTCAAGAAAATGCTTCAATTTGAGGGATCACCTTCATTTATCCCACTTGAATCACTGCGTTTTTCTCCTCTTGTTTTTGTGGTTTGCCATAGGGTAATTGTCGTGTTTTAAGCTGTAAGTTTTATTGTGATGTTGGGAAGAGTGTGTGTCCATATCTGAGTTTGGTCTTTAATTTATAACAGTGAAACATTAGATAAGGAAGAAAAGAATTGTTTTTCCTTTTTCATTGTAGTTTTTGTCAGTGTATCTTGGTCAAATATTTTGTGTAAGTATTTACTTTACAAACTGCAAATTGTACAGTCTTCCCATATTTGGTCGGAAATAAAATTACAGTTTCATTGTTGAGATGGGTTGCGCGAAATTAATTAAAACTGACACCTTGATGGTAATTTCTCTGTGTTTCTTTTGGTTTGTTCTTTGAAATTCAGGCTAGAAGATTCTTCTAGTGATTACAACCTTATGCAGCAATTTGATACTTAATATTTACCCGTTATAATACTTTAAATTTCTGTAACATAAAACATGTTAACCTGTATTAGGGATGTTAGATTGCAAAGCATCAATCAAATATATGTCTAAAGACAGTGAAACTGAGTGGCCGCTATAAACAGACTGACACCAAAGATTATTTAACATATCAGTAAACAACCTGCGAAGAGAAACAGGGTTATCACAGGTGAAGGACAATAAACCAACCGTTTTATTATACTATCTCCTCTTGTTCTAAATGTAAGAGCCAGTTGAGAGTCTTAAATGTAAGACTTCAATTCACTTTGTTTCTAATTTTTTCCTAAAATATCTTTATTGATTGCAAAAGGTTTCACTCGGGGATAATTTTAATTATTCAATGTATATGATTGAAGAGGATAATTCAAGGTGATCAACACATATTCATGACAAATAACCAACTAAATTAATTTTGTTAATATTCTCAAATTAGTTATGTAACTTTTGTATTAAGGAATGGAGGTAGTATTACATGTTCATGACAGTGAAGAGACAGTTTAAAATAATGACGGATCATTGAATTAGTGGTTTTACATTTTGCCGCTTTTCGTTTCTACTTTCTAGCTTTTACGTCTCACTTTATCAGCTGTATGCATATAATCATATTTTGGGCAGGGCTTCCACTCCCATGATTGTTATTGACTTAGATTAAAGAAGACGCCAACTTTACAACTCATGCTTTCATGGTGCCTGCTACTATGGCGTGCTTCCCTTTTATTTTGTACTACTTGAAATTTTTTTTGGGTATGTTGCCCCGAGTCTAAGAATAATTAAGCCGCATTATTTATAGCTTGTAAAAAATCCAACTAATTATAAATTTTATAATATATATTGATATTTTAGTTTCTCCTGATAACATGTGCGGCATTCACGATAGCTTTTTTGGTGTTTATGTTATGGACTTATGGCTATTGCCCAAAAATCAGATCTTTCTAAGATAATGTATTCTCAACAAATAGAGTAAATTCGACAGCACCAACTTCGCTAATCTTAATAGAAGTTTCAAGTTTAGGAGTTTCTTCTCTTTTAGGCGTTTATAATCATCCCCTGCTGTAAGAAATTTCTGGTTTGGCTATTGATTTGAATCTAACTTTTCCCAAGTTTTGATTTGAATCTAATTGCCTTTTATTCTCCTATTTATAGTTATGATATTTACTAGTTTTGACTGGTTTTCATTGATTGGTTTTGAACGCTTTATAATTGGACCCAAAAGTATTCCACTCAGATTTTGGAGTCCATGCATATCAGTCAAGTTCATTGGTTTAAGGAAGTGCTCGGTTGAGGGGTGAAAATGTGGTTTTTCATGCTTCTGTCAAAGCAGCCCTTTAGGTTGCTTCATTAAAAACGCACTCACATAAGCACATGCACACCAAAGTGTTTTAGAGTGAGGCCATTCAAATTCTAAGAACATCCTATTGATTCTAACTCATGGACAGAAAGGGTATTTTAGCACTTTTAATAAACGTATTTTTGCACATACATTTCAGAGGAGATATTGCAAATTTGCAATGAGAGGCAAAGACAGATTGTGAAAATCAATTAAAAAAAGTAGATTTTATGAGAAAAATATGATTTGTATATATTAATTAATTCAAATAATCAATGCATGTAAATATCAGTTATAGAAAATCATATATTTACAAGTTATGAAGAGGATGATTCATTTTGCAAACTCTACACGCGACTAATGCATATTATACAATAATTTGCTCATACAAGAAACAAATTAATTAACACTTCTCTTGTCCTTAATATAGGACCCAATTCTTAAGTTGGTTTTTGTCCTAAATATAAGACCCATTTACAATATTTATCAATTTTCTCTAAATTACCCCTATAAATACTCCCTCAACCATAATCAAATAGAAGAGGGAGAGGAGGTATTAAAAAAGATGATTATGGTATTTTAGGAAAAATGTGCTACTTTTCTTATAATTAACTAACTTATCTAACTTCCTTAATCTAATCAAATTAGTTAAATGGGTCTTACATTAAGGACCGGAGGAGTACTACCTTCAGTCCTTCATATAAGAGTTATTAATTAATTTAAATAGATTAAGAAAATTAGTTAAATTAGGTATTTGTAACAAATAAATTGATTTTTTCAAAATATCTTTTTTAATCATGACTATCTTTGAATGGAAACCCATTAACATATGTAATCAATAAAGATACTTCTGAGAATGAATTACAAATTTGAAAGACAAAGTGAATTGGGATTTTATATTTAGGTTTAATTTTTAATTAGCTTTTATATTAAGAATAGGAGGTAGTAGAAAATTTTGGAATATAATTCCAATGGTGTAAACAAATTCTAGGTGTTGCATGTAAAGCTTTATATAGAATTAACCATAATAAAATACTCAAAACGTGAAAATCGGTTTGCCCGAGGGAGGTATAGCTCATAGGAGAGAGGCGGACGTTTATAGATACAGCTATATATATAATGCCTGTCTTCTTCCTCATATGGTTTGCTCTTCTCCTTCTCCTTCTCGTTCTTCTTCTTCTGTTCAACAACATTATCACCAACATTATTCATTCAAGCTTATTCCATATTTCAATGCTTGAAAAATGTACAACAGCGGTATGTGTCCTCCATATTTCCAGACCAATCAATATAATAATGCTCATCATCAAGACCAGTCGTATCAGCCCTACGTGTATCCACCAATCATGCAACTTCCTGAGGTAACAACAGGACCCTGGTCTACTGGTCTCTGCGATTGTCCTGAAGATTGCCGAAGTTGTAAGCACTTCTAATTCCTTATCCTCTTCAAACTCAAGACCCATGATGTTTTGTTTCTGACGATATACACACACGTTTTCTTTTGTTTTCCAGGTTGGTTAACCATGTTTTGTCCCTGCGTCACATTCGGACGTGTATCAGAAGCCCTAGACTATGGCACAGTGCGTAAGTCCCCTTAGATACTGGAACCCACCAGAAATCTCTTAATTTTCACAAACACATTCGATATGAATTGTCATTCTTGGAATTGTTGCATGTGATGATGTTGTGAGGTTGTGAATGGATGAAGCATGTGTTGTGAGCGGAAGCCTGTACTTGATGCTGATGGTGGCGTCGTTGCTGGGGTGTTTCTGTGTGTGTACGTACTATTCGTGCTTCTACAGAACAAAGCTGAGGCAACAATACATGCTGGAGGAGCAACCTTGTAACGATTTCTTGGTCCATTTTGTGTGCGAGTTCTGTGCCTTGTGCCAAGAGTACCGCGAGCTTCAGAACCGTGGCTACCTCATGTCCTTAGGTCTGTCTACGTACCTTCGTTCTCCTCTTCTTTCCTTCTCAATTACTATCTTTTTGGTCTTTAGTATAAGAACTAGTTAAAGATTTAATTTGATTCTAAATATAAAACCTCAATTTACTTTGCCCCTCATACTTATATATTTTTTCTCAAAGTAATTCATTTGGTGATTATACATGTTAAAGTTCCATAATAAGGTGATTTCAATGCACAACAACAAGAACATTTTAGGAAAAAGGATATATATTAGTCACTAACAACTAACTTAACTAATTTTTTAATATTTATAAATGAGTTATCGTTAGCTTTTAAATTAAGGACAGGAGGTATTACTTTTTTTTCTTTAATTATTAAAAAAAAACAGTAAGCCAACCAGCATACGAAACCACATGGAAGTCTTACTCATCAAATCAAGCCCTGAACAAGAGCATCTAAATTTACCTTGTTAGACTCCGACTTATCAGTTCAAGCTCGGTCGAGCCCTAAATAGGAAAGTCTAACATACAGATATAGATGCAAACCTGAGTCGTCATCTAATCTTTAAGAAAAACCTAACATTTTTTTTGGTAAGGACTAACACATGTCGCATTCATATCGGAATCACGTATTAAACTCCAACTAATTGTATTGATAAACTCGATCAGGAGCAGTATATGAGGACAACTCTCCTTAAAGACACAATAATATTATGCATTATAGAGACTTGAATCCCAGATGTCAACATATGCTACCTCTGATCCTAAATATAAAAACTAGTTAGAGATTCAATTTAGTTTTAAATATAAGACACAAATTCACATTGACTCTCACATTTATTTATTTTTTTCAAAATAATTTTCATGATAATTACATGTGTTAAGGAGTTTCATTCTAATACACATGATTAATAAGGATATTTTAAAAAAGACAATATTCATTTATTACAAATAACTAACTTAATTTTTTTCTGATACATACTAACTTAATTAATTTCTTTAATATTCACACATTAGTTATGTAACTCTTAATCCTTCTTTGTTAGGAGCCGTTATGCTTCTTAATTCACTTTGATTGCTTCAGTATATATATGTATGAATGTCTGTATATGTATATGTTGCTGTTTGTTTGGTAAAATGAGGTAGAAATTTGTAAATAATGATGGTGTATATAAAATTATAGGGTGGCAAGGCAATGTTGAAAGGCAAAGACGAGTGGCGCTGAATATTATGCAGCCTGTAGGCTTAGAAGGAGGCATGATTCGTTAGAGCCATCAGCTTTTACATTAATTTTTGTTCATATATAGCTTCTTCGGGGGAAAAGTTCTTATGTACACAAATCTTTGTATGTTCATTTGTTAATAAATATCCTAACAGAATATAATAATTTGTATATATTTTGTAAAATATTCTAAAAGTAACTGTAAATAAAATGAATTGAGATTAATAGTATGATAAGATGTATATGTGGAGAGAATTAGGAGGATCCAAGTCTGATACAAATTAATTGCCAACTCACAGTTAAGCAAGGTTGGTTTACCTATTTTTTTCA